GCTCAGATCCAGCTAGAAATTTCTGGCTCAGGTCCACCTCTGCTGTAAATGTCAGGTGCCAAACTCAGTTACAACCCCTTGACTCCAGAAACTTGGCCATGGAGTGAAAGCCAGAGTAACCAAGTGCTCTATTCTACCATCACATTCACCCTCCAAGGCACACACACACACACACACACGTGTGTGTGTGTGTGTGTGTGTGTGTACAGGGCAGTGGGCATAACGACATTCCTGTTCCATTGGAGCAAATGGTTCAGGAAGACTATAGGACATGTGAGAACTAGAGAAACATATGCAAGAAAACCCCAGCTGCCCCAAAGCTTCCTCCAAGGCACTCCAATGTTTACGGCACAAATGTCGCACTCGCATATCCACTGACTCCTTCTCTTTGTTTAGAATTTCTTTGATATATTTTTGTATATATAAATATAATGTTATGATGGCTAGGACTATTATTAATAATATTCATGATACTGCTGTGAATGGTGCCATATGCAAGGTTTGGCTTCCTGGTACATTTACAAACTCCAAAGGAATATCTCAACTCTTGTTATGCTTCTCTTAGACCTTAGTTTATAGGCAATGTGAGGTATTTTAAGGGCCTGCTAACAAGGCTTTGCATTGCTTTTCATCAGGCAGGTTTGTGAATTCAATTCAGCTGCTAGCTGTGGGGCGGGGCAAGGACAGAAAAGGGTGGAAGGCAGGAGTTTCTATAACCAGTTTATCCCATGGTGAGTTCTGCCAATGGATTAGAATCCTGTTACACTGTAATGTTTCACTTTAGGACCATGCTGTGGGAATCTGCTTTTCTCATCTGAAGATGGAAGCCCCTTTATATAAGCAGAGGAAATCCATATGATACGCATGCATCCCAAAACTCACTTATAGTGGTGTTCTATTTCAGATTAAATGAGGAGAGTCATGAATGCACCCACTGAAGTTTCTGATGACCACATCATTCTGTTCAGAGGAAAAGTGTTCTGTGAGAAACATAATGACTTCTCCATGAGAATTCCACTATGTGGGATGGGGGGTGGGGTATATACATCATTCCATTTCTTTGTTACATAAATTACACAATGTATTGCAAACATCTGACTATGTCTATGATGATAATCAGGCAGAATCCTATTTTCAAGATCCATAGTCATATAAAAAGTCACATTACAAAGTACACCAAAAAATCTATATTGGTGGGACTCCTGTAAAAAGGTACACCTTACTTTTTGATCATTCCACTTACTTTCTACTGGGGCTAGTTTTTGGTCATAATGGTTTTTGGCAGAATATGTTCCTTCCAACACATTGCTTTTTAAATACGAAGTGCTAGTTTTTTGAGTCTTTTAGGGATTTGTTTTAGTGAGAACCCAATATTTTTCCAAGAAAAAATGTTGATGGAAACAGAAAAAATAAATAATTCACATTTTTGATGGTGAACAAACAACCAAAATGTCTTCAATATGCTCTTCTCCCCAAGGTTTTGGTGTGGATGCCAGTTTCTTCAGTTTCTTCCTTCATGACCCACCTTTTCCTTTCACTTGATCATGAAATAACTCAATAAACATGTGAGACTTCCTGATCATTTCAATGGAAAGGCCTCATGATGTCATGAAAACATGGTGACCTCGGCAGAGTGCTGGAAAAGTTGCATATTGAGCAAAAGTACTCATCTTCCAGTCCCTATGCAAACAAAACATCTCTTGACTGGGAGCCTACTGGGAGTTTTGCTTGGTAAATGCAGTGCAAGATTGGACCCAAGATTATTATTTTAAAGAGGCATCTCCAGTAATTGGCAGAAGGTTAATGGCCGGTTTTATTGAATTCTATTTGCAAGTTCTTTCTAATTTCCATTGTAAAATTTTCATCTCCAAAAGCATATTGTGCTATAGATTACTGACCAATTTTCGCCAGTAACATTTTACATATATTTTATAATTTTTCATTTTTTTGATATTGTGCAATACATTCTGTAAAATATGGGACACATGAATGGAAATCAGAGATAGAACTGAGTCACAAAACTTCGATTCAGAAATGTTCTGCCCAAGGATTTTGGTTCAATCTGTTGTGTCAGTTACGAAATTCAGATTAAAGTCTAGGATCTGAATTATACAGACCCAGATTTTTTTGGTTCCCAAGGCTTATCTGGGACTTGTCCAGAGAATCCATCCATAAAATCTGTTTATTAGAGAAGGACAGAAGACACCAGGCTAGGATTTACCAAAAACTGTCCAAGATAAACAACATCAGCCAAGTGGGTTAGTTAATATCAGACAGGAGATGAAAGCCCTGAACCTGGAGGTCTTTTTATGACTTCCCTATGCAATTGCAGACTAGGTTGATGTTTTTTATCTGTCAGAACATGCAATTTACTGTAAAATATGAAACTAGTACCCACTGGGTCTGTTTGGACATGGGAACGAGAAGATCTGCTCCAGAGGTTTGGAGCTGGTCACCCTGGACTTTGTGTCCAACTTTACATTCCAGCCACCCTCTGACTGGGAGTAAGAGCTTTGAATGAGGCTCTCCAGACCTCTCTCTGCACTTGTGATTTTGTTATGCCACGACAGTGTTATTTCATTCCCAAGGGCTGATTGTCAAAGAGGCCCATAGGCGATGTGTGTGTGTGTGGGGGGGGGAGGTAAAGGGGGACATGTGCCCCCCTCTCCCCGAGATTGGCTGCCGCTGGCTTCTGCGGGCAATCACTTCCCCTACTTGCTGTCAATACAGCTGTCGGTGGTTGCGGGTGGTCCCTGTTTACCACTCGCCACCACCACCAGCATGGATGGTAGCTGCAGGCAGCCCCCACTCGCCACCCACTGCTCACCACCCCTCCTCCCTCACTGACAACACCACTGCAGCCACCAGCGGGCAGTTTCTGCTTGCCGCTGCCACCCCCCCCGCTGACACTGCCACTGCCGCCTGCAGATGGTCACCGTGCCCCCCCAGCCTGAGGAGGCATGCGTTGTTCATGAAGTGGCCCTTTTGTGGAATGCTATATTCACCACATATGGTATTCTGCTTTTGATCTCATTAAGAAGAGTATGTTTTCCAGCTGAAATCAGAGCGGAAGAAAGGCATTACAGCAAACTTAGGTAAGCTTAGAAGGACCATTACGGCGAGCCTTGCATACAGTGGCAAAACTCTTATGGTGCTTGAAAGGGGGACAATCAGCATAGGGGTTCCCTTCCTCCCTGATCCCAGTGTTGGAGAAGAGGGAGGAAGGGAAATGGCCAAGAATTCTTTCCTCCCTGAGGGAAGGCGAACCTGGCCAGTGAGTGCAGAACTTGCTTGGGAAGCAAACCCCAAGAAGGGTAGGTGATCAAGCAGCTTTTTGCTTTACTTTTGAGAAGCACTAGATGTCTCCTAGTCTTTGTCTGAGTTTCAGACACACCTCAGAAGGCTACCCCTTGCAGGACTTATCCCTCTGTAGAGGTGCTATCCACCATAGGGGCCATCTGCAGCACTCTTGAACTCAGTGGGCCACTGCTGAGGGATATGGAGTACTCCTACTCTCCACAGTTCTACTAGACCCTTCTGGTTGAGATGGATAGGACTATATTCATGGTCTCATGCTACAGCTAGTGCACCATGGTAACCAATCAAGAAATTCCTGTCCTTATTTCAGAACTGTGACTTCTAACAGAGAACCTCATGGGATCTTACAAGTGCTCACTACTAGTATTGGTTTCAGATCCCTACCAGCCACTTCCATAACTTCTTTGATCTGAAATATTCTTATCCGTGGTTTTGACCCAGATAATTTGGGGGCCCTTTGCCCAAAAGGTAATCAAAAGCTCACAAGAGCAACTCAAGTCTTACTGCTTGGGTGCAAAAAAGGAAAAAGAAACAAAAAAAGAAAACAAGGATAAATGACCCTTCCCTGCCCCATCCTTGAGACTGCAGGAACTGCATGGCCTGAGGTTGAGCAATCAACCCATTGACAATGCTCTCTCTCAGTACATAATTTGCTGCTCATGCCACTAGCTGCTGCTTGCAGATGTTGCATGTACAATCTTACTAAGCCTGGACAAAAGCCAGGGCATTGCAAGAGGGAATGGGTGTATTGAGAATTCTGATTTCTATTGCTCCACAGGTGGGGAAAGGGAGAGTGGATGTATTCAGTAATCCATTCCAGATGGCCAACCAAACTTGTTCAGGGTCATCCCCTCCATGTAGAGCCCATGCAGTGTGCCAAGTCCATTTCTGTTGGACACTCACATGCAACTGAAATACTTCTTCCTTATGTGGCACTGAGCACCCGTTCCAGGTGGGCAAAGCAATCCTCTTCAAATTCTTTTTGATTTCAGATTTCTTAGAGATCCTTCTTCTTAAGAGATACTAGAGCAGAGATTATTTGCAAATGCTTTCTGTCACTGGTAGCCACTGATCAAACCTAGACAGCAGTTTGGGGCCTACATGAAATAGATTATTTTTACCATTCCTTGGAGACTATTTCAGATGAGTCCCATCTAGTATATGTCTAGTAGGGTGAGGGAAAGGGCCAAATATTTCTCCTTATGGTATGGGCTGCAATCAGGAAAGATTTCAGATGAGGGGAGTTAGGCTGAATCAAATCTCTTTCAGTCAGCCCCTTGCAGACCATTCACAGTGCAGACCACTGAATGTATCAATGCTGTGCAAAGGAAATCAATTATGCATGCGGTGTAACTGGGTTTGGAGAAAAAAGGCCAGACCTCACTTTCATTAAAGCAAGCTTCAAGAGGCAAGCCAACTTTGATGGCAGCAGGACTGGGCCCATGCACAGAGAACTCAGGGATCTGTAAGGAATCCAGCTTCTCTTACCTGAATAGCAAGGGGGCACAGTTCCTATATGGGGAAGGAGAACAAGGCCACTGTAACCCTGATGTCAGTGATGAGCATGATCATTCATAGATGTGGCATGTTTGGTTCTCCTGCATGGCTGCTCCTACCCAGGGGAATTTTTCACTACCCTTTTCTCCCCAGTACCTACCCTTGTTCA